GATAAAACGGATACTAACACCACTGTTACACATATTACTCACCGTGCAAACTTAAGATATGATAATGAAGGCGCAGGCAGGTCTGTGTTTTAAATACACAACACGTTCTTCGATTTTTTCCTTGTCCCGCCCGAACACGGATGTTGCCTTTACACCTATAAGCAAAGAATCGGAACTGCGGCATAAAGGTTCCGGAATTTTAAAGATTGGATGGTTGTATAGGTTTTAACGTGCTATCTACGGCCAGTGGCGTATATATATACTAAATATTCTAGATTTTTTTTTCAATCATGTATTTTTATTAAAATGCATTTACATGATTAGTAAGGACCGTCCGTATCAATCATAAAAAAGGAAAAAGGAAAAACAATCTTCTTAAAATGTTTAGTCTGATAAAATAGTGTTGTTATGTCTATACACATTGAAAATTGTCGAATGTTTATGTAGAATTCTACATAAAAAATTCTAAGTGAAGTACAAGATTTATAATTATTCATATAAAAAGTCGTGTTTTACTTGTTAACATACGAGAGATTGCTTCTGGGGCTTAGTAGAAATGTTTGTTCATCTATGGGACCCACACCCTCTATCCCCTTTGGCGCTATGCACCTCGGACGCTCGACCCCCTATAAGCATACACTCCGAAAAATGATTTGTAACGCCATTTACAGCTAAGGTGAATAAATGATAATTTCACAAATTCTTATATATTTACAGAAACTGATTTCTTTATCTTAACATAATTTTATTTAAGATCAGGTATGTTTTAATATATAAATATTTATTTATGTATTTCTTGTATCCGCCGTCTGTAATGACCCGCCATGTACATAGTGTTCGTCAACGCAGTGACACATACAAACTTTCTATTTTCTTTTTTAATGCATATTGTTGTTATCTTTCAAGTTTGACCAACATATATACATTTTGCAGACAGCACAAACAGAGACGTACGTATATACTACAGAATTACTTTATGTCTCTGGCACAAAGCTGTGTGTATAATGTTAACTCACATTTATATTCCAGTGGTTCATAATAAACTATTTATGATATAATATTTATAGGCTTTTTGATACAGAGTTTGATCTATGTTGATTCTTATAACGTGCAATTTCTATTTCAATATTTTGGAGCGATTTAAATGTTGTGGTTTTACATCCTGAATCATATATTACTTTTCAGTCAATAATCTTAACTCTTTATTACAATGGTAACCTAACTTTATAAAGATTTAAAGCCTGCGTGTTTGTTTGTTGTTTTATTATTATCATATTATTATTTAATCAAATATAGAAAAGAGGTATGGCGGAAAACTGCCCGTATTTCCCTAAGTCGGCATTTTTGAAAACGGAAAAAAATATTGATGAGTAAATAATCTTTAGTAGCAAAAATGCATGGAATAGATATAAAACCAATTGAATATGAATTTTTGAACTGTTGAGATATTCGGTATTGTTAATATAATACTGCAAATATAGCCATATTCAATATATCTATGAAAGTGAAGGGGTTTCCCAGACTTAAAAAAA